TATAATTTAAACCTACAATTCAAAGAAATAAAGAATAATATCTACAATATATCGGCAACTAATGGAGAGAAGAGGGAATACAACTTTATATGTAAAACTGAAATGGGAAAGAGAGCTAGGTGTTCAGTCAACCACATCATCACGTGCTTGGAGATTATTTTGTTGGAAGAATTTAATTAGATTCTTTACCACAGAATTAGGAACAAATACTTGTGAAAATGTGGAGCTATAAATGTAGGTAATGCTCATATTTTTGGCTTTGCCCTAAAACTATAACATTTTGGGAAGATGTTCAGCTGGTTATCGTCAGAATTCTGGGTTATGATATATCTAAGTCGTGTGTTTTACTATATTTTGGCAATATGACCGGGAATGCTGTGTTAAAAGAGGACAGATATTTGTGGAAAGTTTTGTTAGCAGCTTGTAAACGAGCAATCACGAGAAAATGGTATAAGCCAGACCCACCAACACAAGAGGATTGGCTAAAATTGTGAATGAAGTACATGTTATGGAACATTTGACTCATAAGATAAGGACCCAAGAAGAACAATATCGAGAAAAGTGGGAGAAATGGACTGTCTACACGCCAACGATAGGATAAGGACTACCACACTGACAGTAGTATAAGAACAAACTGTAGAGGCATGGCAATCCAGTGTGTTCTTTTTCTGATTGTTTTATTTATTTATTTTAATATTGTTATTTTTCCTGGTGTTTGTATGTTGCAAATGAAAATCAATAAAAATAAAGTATCCAAAAAAAGAAAAAAGGAACCCGGTTCAACACCAAACTCATGTCTAAACATATCCATTAAGCAGCACATAATAAAACTCACTGCAATATAAAGGAATGTTTTAGCAAGGGGAGTTGGCTCAACTAAAATACACAACACAACAGTATCACATATGTGTTTGAGTAGTGTGAACTACTCATATATATGTAATTATACCATGTATCAACAAAACCACATGGTTTCACCACAGGAAGCTGGTTAGCTGAGGTGTCAATTCCTCGTGACCAGCTACTACTTTTAACCTAAAATAAAAGGTAAGAGAAGAACCTCTGGGACAGATTCATGGTTATTTCCCTCTCTTATTTCCAACACAGGAGGTGTTCACAGAGATGGAGGAGAAGTATGGGGAGGTGGAGGAGATGAATGTGTGCGATAACTTGGGCGACCACCTTGTCGGCAATGTCTACGTTAAGGTTGGTAATTTTAAGTGACCACTTTTCCTTTTGCGTGGATCATTTGAAAGTATATTCATTTTTATATGTTTATAAGATTTATTTTTATCACATTAGTTGCCACAAGTTATGAGTTATCCTTACAGCCTGGACACACTGCCCATGTCTGCAGCGAGTGTGCACAGAATATGTTGCTTTTTTATTAGGCGCTCGTGTGAACTGCACATCTGCTTTATTAAAGAGAACTGTGTGCAGTTCCTATCAAAAATAGACGAATAAACATAAATCACACCTTTAACTACAGTTTCAACTTCTGTATCTTTAGAATATGTCACTTTTTTTACTTAACATCTCCTGTATCTGTTTCAGATTGAAAGCTCTTTTGGTTTTTGTGAAGAGGAGCCATTCATGTGTTCACAATTCTTTTATTGTATAGTATGAACTCTGTAGACAGATAGGGCTGGCAGCAGCAGAATTGTGTTGGGTGTGAACATCACAGGCATGCAAACTGCAGCAGTTCAGCGAGGTTGCTGTCACACAGGCGGTCGGTGTGTCCAAGTTATGTGTCTGTAATGTATCCTCATACTTATATTTGTCCTGTGTTTGTAGTTTCGTCGTGAGGAGGACGCAGAGAAAGCAGTCATGGACCTGAACAACCGTTGGTTCAACGGCCAACCCATCCACGCAGAGCTCTCCCCCGTCACTGACTTCAGGGAAGCTTGCTGCCGCCAGTATGAAATGGGGTGAGTAACACATGCAGAACTGTAGGAGCACTGAACACTACCTATTAATGTAAAGCAATCAAATGCCTTCTTATTTAATTTCAAATGTAATAAATCCTCTCTAATACAGTGAATACTTTGAAAATCTGTAACCATATTGTGTTGCTCACTGATTATAACTCCATTAGGAACAAAGATCCAGAGCGAAAAGAAACCAACTTAAAGGTTTTCTATAAGTAATGTATAATGTATAAATTACAGAAAATGTTTGAATAAATATGAAGATTTGAGGTTAGTGCAGAACTGGGCACCCAAGCAGAAGGCTCCTGATTGTCTGATCAGCTGATAAAAATAAAGCAGAACATCTTTACTTCTTGTCTGTGTGACCAGCTGCAACATTGTCACACAGCTATGAATCATTCCTGCAGCCCAGGTTGTCTTAATTTAAGAGTTGCCTGCTAAAAAACCAAGTCTTGTCTTCAATGTATTGGAGGAACTATTGTACACACATAGTATGTGTGAGTAAGGGCATCAGGTAGAGGCAGAAAAAGGCATGTGATGTTGAGAAGAAAGTCCGTCCTGTAGACAGACCCTGCAGCTAAGGCTGGATTACTGGCTCACTCAAGGGGCCCCTCGAAAGAGCCAGGCTTACTGTGTGTAAGCTGGTTTGTGCAATTTTATTGGAAAGCTTGTTTGGGAATATGCAACGGACATGATAAGTGCCTTGAGGTTATTTAGGTGTTTGCTTTATTATATAATCTAAACTCTCTTCTCAAACTTTGTGTTCATTTGTTGCATATTGCTAAATTACTGCACAAAAACAGTTCTCATTATGCACTGCAGAGAGGAAGGAACATAGGCAAATCTTTCCTCTGAGGGCCAACAGCAGGCAAATCATGCCAGCTGCTAGATAAAGTTTCACTGTCCTCTGCGTTCAGCTTGTGCATGTGTCCTTCAGAAAGGCTCTGAAACCGTACCAGCTGCATGGACGATCACATTTTCTTTAAAACGCAAAGATAAACTTTGTACTTGCACGGTGGGAGGTAACATCTGATCCTCTCCTTTGAGCCGTTCAGTGTTTTTCCATTGGATCGGGGGTTGTTTACTCGGGCAGCGATAGGTCGAACTCGGTGCGAGGGGCGATAAAGATCAGATGTTCTGCTTGGTGGGCTGGCATGAACCTCAGCATGTGTTACTAAGAGCCAACTTCTCCTCGTGGCACTGCTCCACCAAACACAGACCAGTGTTAACCCTTTATGTGCCGTGTTCCCTACAGAGAGTGCACCAGAGGGGGCTTCTGCAACTTCATGCACCTGAAGCCCATATCGCGGGAACTTCGAAGGGAGTTGTACGGCCGCCGCAGGAAAAGGTAAAGAGATTGTTATAGTGAAACATTCATGTTTGAGGATTAGTTAGAATTGTTTTTTTTTTTAAATTAATCTTTTTCTTTTCTCCCATCAGGCACCGCTCTCGCTCGCGCTCCCGGGAACGACGCTCCCGCTCCAGGGACCGACGGCGGGACCGCGAGCGGCGAAGGTCGAGGGACCGAGAGCGCTCTGGGAGATTCTGAAAAGAAGCCAAGACTGACCCAATGTCCTATCACGTCCCCCCCCCCTTTACCCCAGCAGTGATGACAAAGTTATTTTCTTTTTTGGTGAATTGTTCAAAGTGTTTTTCTTTTATTCCCTTTTTTTAAGACGAGCTTGTGTCGCTTTCTCAATAAAACAGATTTGTAATTCTGCACCGGCACCATTTGCTTATATGAACATCAGCCTTTTATGCCTTTTTATGTGGTTAATTGGTTTAGATCTATCAGTATCCGGTTGTCTGAGGGAAAGGTTTTATCATTTTATTTATTTATTATCTTACAGATGGGCAGTCAGCCAACATGGATCCCTTTTTGGTCCCGCCAAACCTCTTTATTGCTCT